AAAAAAAAAAAAAAAAAAAAAAAAAAAAAAAAAAAAACCAAAAAAACCAAAACCTCAAGACAGAAATTGGGGTCAAAGCCTGAGAGAGATCAGAGGAATATGAAAAGCCACAGTTAACTTCACCTCACCAGCTCTGCAGCTTCCTAAGTGAGCTACTGCCTGTCTACCCACACCTATATACCTTTCTGTTCTGTTCTCTCATTTGGTCTCTCAGCCTGGCTACATCACTTCCTCTTCCTGCTCAGCTCCATCACTTCCTGTCTGTCTGTACAGACCTCCAGACCTCTATGGTTAGTGCTGGGATTAAAGGCATGTATCACCATGCCTGGCTTTGTTCCCAGTGTGTCCTTGAACTCACAGAGATTCTAACAGATCCCTGCCTCCCAAGTGATAGGATTAAAGGCATGTGCTAACATTGCCTGACTTCTATGTTAATATAGTGGCTGGCTTTTTCCTCTAATCATCAGGTAAATTTTATTGGAAGACACAGTATATTGGGGGATACAATACATGACCACATAACATAATCATTTAAGAACCTGTTTGGCCGGAGTTGCTTCCTGTAGTTGCAAACTGCTAATGTGAGACCAAAATGAGCCGTCTTAGAAATATGCTTTCACCCTAAGACTAAGGCCTAAGATTTCTCCTTTTAGGTATAGGCCATGAGTTACTGGAATAGGCCATGAGTTGCTGAAACCAGTCATTTCAGATTCCAGAAACCAGGAAGTATAAAAGTACAGAGTCACAAAGTAGTCACGAGGTAATTAATGACTGCCAGACTATGGAATGTCCTCGCCCTGCTTCCCTAGGTAGCTGTTTGACCAAAGAATGTTCCAACCCTGGTTTCCAGGGTAACTGACCATAAAAATGTCCCCACCTGAGGGCAGCCAATGAGCAATGGTGGCGGACAACCACCCCCTTAGAAATAAGATTAAGCCATGATTTCTAGAAAATCCCTAGAAGCAAGCCAATCAGAACTGTTCTTGTACTAGTACCCCTAAATGATGTAACCTTGTGGTTTTTGCCTATAAAAACTGAGCTTGCAGAGAGGTGGGCACTTCCTCCAGCCTCCACTGCGTTGGATGTATTGGACGAAGTCCCTGCCTAGGCTTGTATTGCTCTTTGGATCTCCTGAATTAAACCTTGCTTTTGCATTCTGGTATGCTTGTCTTTGTTGGTCTCTCTGGGGGTCGGAATCTGGGCACAACACTTAAAGCCTTAATGTTTCCTTCCTGACTTGGCAGTTTTCTAGCAGCCAGGCAAAATTTGTTTATACTTCATTTTCCACCTAAATAACAGGTGTCAATAATCTCATCTGACTGGGTCTTGATGGATATCAAGGCAGAACCACAGAATTGGACTAAAATATGCCAAAGCACAAGATGTGTATCTGGCTTTTCTATATGCCTAATGTAGCAAAGATTCAAATAGGCAGTACCTTGATGACCTTTGTCATGGCAACAAGCACTGAGTTGATGTGTAGGTGCAGAGCACTAATTTCTGTCATAAATTTCTTCTTGTAAACTTTATCTATTAAATCCTCTTGCCTTTTTTTTTAAAATAAATTATAGTTGTGTGGTGTCACAGTTAAATACATTTTCTCATATTTGAAGTAGAACTCAAGTTAATCCTCGAGGACATGCTACTGTTTATTAGCTAACCAGCTAATAGAATGAAGACAGTGTTTTCTCTAAAATTCTAGATGAGCTCTCTTCAACCATAAGGCACATAGTAAGTAGACAATGTCCAAACAAATTTGCTTGTTTGCTTACTGTTTTGCTTTTCCAAAGTCATACTTTGCTTTACTGAAGATCACCACAAGCATTTTTTTTTCTTTTAGTGTTTCAGTTTTTCTGGAATTATGACTTCAGATTCAATACTGGTCTCTCACTGTATATATTATGATAACCCTTTGTAATCTATTTCTAAAATTCCTCAGGTGTGTGGATAATTTTAGAAATACCACAGAAATCAACTCCAAAATACGGTTTTAGGTTTTGGGGAAATCATTTTTTGAAAGCTTTGTAGTCTGGAAATTTTTCTTTCTTTTTCATCTTCTTTTGGAGGCTGTTCATTAACACTGCGAAATGAGAAGTAAATCAAAGCAAGTGTCCTGGTCCCTACGCCGGCATCACACTGTGCATGATGGTACTGCTTTCCGGTGGGTATCCACAGGTAGGGTAGGATCCTGTCCAGTTCACCGGCTCTACAAAGGGGAGAACAAAGGGGAGCTCCCTTTGCTTTTGTTCACAAATCAAAACCGTTTGCCGTGCTCTTTTTGACTGGTTCCAGTTTAAGGCCCAATAGATCTCAGAGAAAACAGCCCTGAGCCTTTGCTATGGTTTTTAGGTTTGGCGCGGGGCTCATAGTATGAAATTTTTCTCTGCAGTAGTCTTTCTGGCTAATTTCAGATTAGATCCTGCCAAATAGAAACTCCAAATAACTAGCCTAGAAAAGTCCAGAGAAAATCACATCTCTGTAAAAGGATGTCCGTGAACAGAAAGCCTCCCTTGAAACCCGGGTCAGACAACAAGCATCTGCAAATGAAGGACTGGCCCAATAGCTAGCCAGTCTGGCTCTTATGTGAGCCTTAAGTATGCCTTGCAAACATTGCTCCGAATTCCTGGCTATCATTACCTTATAAATAATTTGGGGGAAAATACCAGCAAAAGCTTATGTAATTCCCTTGCTCTGAAAAGTGCAGCCCAATCTTCTTCCTTGGGATCACTGTCAGCGATTACACACCGAGTGCTAGCAACCAAAAGGAGCATGCTGCTGAGGCAAGGAATATGTTTTCAATTTTTAATGAAGTGTTACTTGTCCACACACTATCTCTCTTAGGTTCCAGGCTGTGTGCCAGTGATAAACTACACAGCCTAACAGCTTATCTATTTTTTAAGTGACCAGTCTTTAGGGGTATAAATTCCATTTCCCTTACTGAATGGGTCCAATATTTGGTGAACATCAAATGCTTCATACTGTTTGCATAATATGATTGTTTGGGTGTGGGGAAGAGTGGGAAGGGACTTTTCAAAAGTATGCACTACTTAAGTATGGTGTCCAGTGGTTTAGAAGCTCTGGGGTTTCTGTCTGAGATGATCAATAATTACTCCATGGTTAATATGAGCACACCTGGCAGCTAGTTAAGCAGGTATCAGGAAGAAGAACCATACTTCATACACACAGTACAAGTAGCAGAACTTCTAAGCAACATTCTCAGGAAAGAAGAAAAAGACTGAAGGCCAGAAGTAAGCTACTGCTGGATAGAAGAATATGTCTAAAGAAAAGGAAGCCAGGCTCAAGGCCATTGGTTTGCCTCTAGAAGCAGAGCTCAGTGAATGTGGCTCACTAGGGATACAAGCATGTCAGGATGAATGACAGACAGAAGATGTCTTTTCTGCAGAGACAGACATGAGTTGCTACAGCTAGACATTGAATGACTTATTAAAATGTAAGCATGGTAGTTCTTGAGGTTCACTTGAGCCTGATGAAATTTACAAAACTCATAGAAAAGTAGCTAGGAGGAATGACTTACATGTTCCATCAAGACTTCTCTCATTTATCCTACTGGCAAATCTGAAGTCCTGTTAGAAAGGTAAGGGCTAGACAGAGTCATGCTGTAACTTTGATTTCTCTCCATTTTCATTTTCAGGATGCAACTTTGGTAAATAAATAAGAATATTGAGAATAGCAGAAAACAGCAGAATTTTATATTTGGCATGATCCTTTAGAGTTCTCAGACAATGGAATTAGAAAAAGATTGTGTTTGTCAGGAGAATACTTTTCTGATTTAAATACTTTAAACCAGAAGTGGAAGGGAAAACATTAATGAAGAAAAATACAGAGGCCAAGCTAAAAAATCCTACCATGTGGAGGGAAATGGCTATATCAGAAAATTTAATAATAGAGCAGAACTTCTCAGAACAAAAGAAACCCAAGGAGCACATTAGCTCCTCACAGGAGTGATGTTGATCCACAGTGTATAGGTTATAAAATGGGCCTTGAGTTTAACAAGCTAAGTATTCTCAAGAGGAGCTATCAATCTTTGTGTTGGCACAGATGACCATAGCTTAGAGGAATAAACAATGTACCTAAAAAGAAGGTTAAAATATTAGAAATGTGGACATAAAACACACACACACACACACACACACACACACACACACACACACACACACACACTTCCAGAAATTATCTGAAGGTAGAAAACTGATAGAGGTATTTATGTAAAAGTAAAAGTAGTAAAAAATGATGAGACCTAAACAAATTTGTGATTCAGTATTGTAATTCCCAGAGTTCATAGCTGGGTAAGATTTATGATTTCTTTTCTTCACTAGTAGCATGCAGAATACCTTCTAGCACTATGAAAGCTAGTCAGCAAGGATGAAACTTCTAGGTGAATATCAGCTTGATCTTTCCATGTTCTGTATGACTTGAGTATACAGTATCTGCAACATTTGGGTCTTAGTATCCAGTTCTGGAAGTTAATAATGAGAAATAGCAATAGCCTTCAGTCTTTGGAGTCTGTGGGACCTCATTTTTGCAAACAACTCCAAGAAAAGTAACCCATTCCTGGCACTGGGATTTTTGTTATCTATTGGTGTCTAGAAGGTGGATTGCTGTTTCATTAGGGAGTGATTCCATTGGCTAGCCTGAAAAGACATTCCCATTAGTGCAATAGTGGCATGAATGCCCTGGGAGCAACCAACCACTTTTTAAAATTAGATTTAAGGTCCATTCCACAAATTGAAACTCATACCTGGCCCTAGGGAAGAACCTACTACTATCACTCTGTTAAACAGACAGCATTAAATCAGCTCCTAATGACTTATCTTTATACTCGTAGATTAATGCATAAGTCAGTCCTCATCAGAGAAACTCCTTTTTGCAGTAGATGCAGATTAATACAGATACCCACAACTGATCAAGGTACAAAGAACAAGAGACTATAGAATGCTCAGCCATAAATGGAACCTCTATATCACACCTGCCCTTTAGAAAAGGACACAAAGTTGGGTGGGTGTGGAGGGTAAATGGATCTTGGAGGCATAGAGCGGGAAAGTGAATTTGATCAAAATACATTGTACAAAATTCTCAAAGAACTAATAAAATGTGGAAAAATATTTGAGTCAGTTACACGGTTCTGTTATAATGCAAAATATTAGCAATTGTGGAAAGAATGCAATACTGAGGCTTTAACAGAAGCTCCATTCTATTACAAGCAAAATGCTAGGTAAAAATTTGCTTTATTTAGTGGGTAATTTATTCTTTCTTGAGAAGATTGAGAAAACAACCAGCATTGAAATTCTGGGTAGTGCTGACACTCTGGAGTGACAATAGGTAGACAGGATTTGTCTCTTCAAAATCTCCCCAAGTGAGCTGAGGATATAGCTCATTGATAGAGCAGGAGCCTATGAGACACAGGGCTTGAGTTGAGTCATTGCAGCAAATTTCACCCAAAAGAAGCAAAACCTTTCCAAGACACTCAGACCTCCTTCTCTTTTGCCACCCTGTGGTGGCATAACCGACATGCTATAATAGGTTGTTGGAGTTTTACAAGTAGACTACTAGAGGATTATCACATCATATATTCAACCTAGTTATATGCTAACTGTGCTAGGCATTAGGAATACAGACCTTAACATATTGAGCAGGGTGAGCATTTGTAACAGTTGAGCTATTGCTATGGTCCCAGCACATTTACATGGCGAAACCAAAATTTTCATATTTAAAAAAAACCACAATTATCACATCAAGACATAATTATTACTATCAAGTTGCAAAGTAGTAACAAGAGTCAGAATGTATTACTTGCTACAGCTATTGTAAGCCAAGACAGAGCCATGACTTTGTGAGTATGTGACTCAAAGAACCAGAAAATACTCTTTTAAAATGTTTTGACACAGATTCCTAAAGAAATCCTTCTAATGATACAGATCTCTGATGAGTTCATTTTGTAAGGGATATATGCAATAAAGTGATGTTAGGCAGACACTCCCATGAATAGAATGATACCATAAATCTTATGGCATAAGACTATGTAATGAAGGTTAAATTTAAGGATACCCAAAGAAAGGCACCTCATTGAACATAATCTAAGCTAGAAGAGATAAGGGGAGAAGAAGAGGGAGGAGGAAAAGGAAGGAAGAGAGAAGGAGTGGGGGAAAAAAGAACAAAAGTTTTTTCACTTTTCAGGAAAGCATTTCTTACTTCACCTGATGTATGTATTCTTTCCCATCAAGCACAGTAGTAGTATCTGTTGCAGAATATTTGTTTAACTATGCAAGGATGTGTTGCATTTGTTTTTGTTGGGGAATATTTTAAAGATGTGTTATGTTTGTTTCATTATTTAAGACTTGTTCTGTTTTACCTTGGAAGCCTAAGGGGCCTGCTTGGTCTAATAAAATGCTGAATGACCAATAATGATGGAGGAGGTATAGGTGGGACTTGCAGGCAGGGAGAATAAGTAGAGGGAGGAATTTGGGCTAGGGGAAGAAAGAAAAGGAAACAACAGGGAGATGCCAGGGGCCAGCCATGGATGAAGCAGGAAAGCAGGACTTACAGAATGAAAGAAAGGTAAAAAGCTTTGAGGCAAAGCGTAGATGAATAGAAACAGATTAAATGAAGTTAAAAGAGCTAGTGGGACAAGCCTAAGGTAAGGCCGAGCACTCATAATTAATAAGTCTCCGTATCTTTATTTGGGAGCTGGTTGGCAGCCCAAAGAAAATTTCAACAACAAGTATCCTAGTAAACAAGGGCTCACGAATGCTAAAACATTTGTATTCTGGTTCCTCCTCCTACTGCTCAATCTGTAACAGCATGTGCAGTCTTTTTTAGTATCTGAGGTTTCCCAATCTTAATTTATTTCTGGCCATCTCTATTGTACTCAGACACAGGCAGACATTGGCAGCATCTAATTAATTACTCAAGACCTAAGAAAAATCACTGTGTACCCACAAAGAGATCCACAATTACCTTAATTAGAGCCCAAACAAGCAGTATTAAAATAGTTTCTTTGTGCGTATGTATAAGCCCTTTATATATTTACTCACTTTATGTGCATTAGATATAAATGCCTAATTTTATGACTCTGGATGTGGCTGGTCAATATGTGAAGTATATTATTTCTACTCATTACATTGGCAGTTTTGTCACATTCTTCTTAGTATTCACAATCATATGCATTGTTGATAAATCATAATTAAGATCTTAGTCACTAGGATTAGGCAGTCGGTGGGCAAAGCTAGATTCTGTGTCGCTGTAGCTCCTGTTTTGTTTGAAAGCTGTTTCCCTATTTCAATTGTCTGAAAATAAAACATAACAGAAAAAAGTAAAATTGCTTCCATTACAACCCCAGATCTAGTCCTCAACCTTAACACTCAGAATTCAATCCATTATCCAAACAAATACAGAGACCTACGTCTGTCTGGGGATCTTGGTGGGCTCCACAGTATCTTACCCTTACTTTTTCTCTACAAACTAGAACATTCAATGGAGCGCTCAGCTCTAGGCATTGTTTGTTGTCAGTATTATACTGGACACATCCCATACTGACCTTCCAGACCTGACGTTTGTAGGGACTTACAGAGGGTGGTCACTTACAAAGGGTGGTCATTGGTCATTTGTGTATTTATTCCAGATTCTACTGACCGTGGACTCTTCTATCCCAGCCGCCAATTGTGCTCCTGAGTAGCAGGCAAATCTGCTTACCGTTACATTGGAGACTAATAGGAAGGATTAGTTGGCAGCTCCAAGAACCAAATCTTTGTGCATTTTGTCTCTTAAAATGGTAAGCAGTTGCAAAAATCCAAGTGAAAAGGGTTTTCCTTTTCTGTTCCATCTGCAGTCGACCCTCATTTTAAAATTTCTTATCTTTCCAATCTAAGCCAGGTTAGAAAAGCTTCAAGATTTTTCTTTAAAAATTAAATTAAAGTACATCAATTTTAGTTTATGTATATGGGTGATTTGTCTGCATGTATGTCTGTGTAGCTCCTGCAGAAGTCAGAAGACATCATGAGCTCCCTCGGAATTGGAGTCACAGAGGGTTGTGAGCTGTCTTGTGAGTGCTGGAGATCAAACCTGAGTCTTCTTAACTGCTGTGCCATCTCTCCAACTCATAGCTTCCAGCTTTTTGTTTTGTATTTATATGAAACCTCCATTTACCATATGTGGTGCTTCTAATATGAGCCTAATGTGGGAGCGGCAGCACAGCTTGTTAAGGACTAGTGGCCCCTGAGGCACAATCCTACCTCACACTGAGGCTCAGGTTGTGTGGCTCTTTCTTTAATCTACGGCATTGCTAAGTCATTATAAGAAGAAAACAGCTAAGGGAGGTGTGAGAAGACGTGAGTCTGAAAGCCAGAGTCCCTGGAAAGCAAAGGCCTGGGCAGACTTACTCCAAGCCTCCAAGCTCTTGGTGTTTCCTTCTCCATAGATGGGACTTCACTAGACAAATGGCTCTCTGCTCACCAAAGTACATATTATGTACAGAACCCTGTCTAAGTCATGAGTTTTGATGTCATCCTGTCCTGTTCCACCCATAGTTCATAATGTGTGTTGTGACATCCAGACACTCTGATGCTGCCTGTGACTGGCTAGGAACAACTCTCTAACTTTAGTATTCTGTGCTGTGAAGCCTTGAGTTCACAGACACTATTGTCTTGCTTTTCTATATTGTCTTCATGAGAAAGATGAGTTTCTGGTTTCTATTTTTAGACTCTTTTGTGTCTTTTAATAGGTTGGTGCTCAGGAAGAGAGGATCTGGCTTTTGGGGAGCCCTTTCAAAGACAAATTAATGTAATCTCAGAAAAAATCACTTAAACTGGTTTTACCCTTAGTTGAAAAATCGAGAAAAGCCAACTGTCATGATTGTTGGCTCACAAATTGTTCCTCTGCACAGCTATCACATTTCCTCGGTGCCTGGTGTATGTGAGTGCTGCATGAGGCTCTGGAGACCTTCAGTCCTGTATACTGTGAGAGAATCTACAAAGATACAAAACAAGAATAACTTTCACTTTTAAAGTATCCACTATTAGAAAAGAACAGTAGTTTAACAATCTAAGTGTCATAGAAAGGCCACATACAAAAGTGAACTTTCTCTGGGAAGATTCAAGGAGACAAAAGACAGAACTGTCTTGCTTAAACTGTGTCTGACCCAAAAGTCTCACACCAAACTTAGTTTTCTTCTAAATCCTATTAACTCTGAAGGTGATATTAATGAAAAATAGATATAGAAAGATGAAGAAGATGGATAACCTCTGAACTGCTGGTTCTTAAGAAATCAGGAACCGATTGCTCTAATTTTTTTGTTGTTACTCATCTACTAGGGCTATACTGGCAAAGGATTATAAATGAGAAGGTAGGAACAACAGAAATTATTTCTCAAAGTTCTAGAGGTTAGTGCTCTGAGCACAGGGCTGAGCATCTGCAGATCAGTTTTGCTTGAATCCTCTGATTTTAGCTTATAGGTAACTTTTTTTCCTCATAAGTATTTTAAGGGCTTCCCCTCTGAAATGTCTCTGCTAAACACTTCTTGCTATAAGGACATCATGTAGGTTGTCTTAGAATACACCCCTAATGACTGTTTTCTCAGTTATGTATGTGAGACTCTATCTGCAAGAGAATCACAGTCGGAATTAACTGAGGGCAAAGACTCAACACATGGATTTTAGAGGAAAAGTCCAGTTCAGAACATCGCCAGCAGGGAACTTGTGCATTAGGAAGGAACTTGGCCGTGATGCAGAGAAGGAGCATTTTAAGCATTTTTCAGTCAATGCTTTGTCAAATGATCCTTGAGATGTGCAACTTTTCCCCATTTACAAGTCCCTTCCGTTCGTCATTTGTTGTTCTCATGGTTCTTAATGTGTGGAACTGTAGATTGTAAAATGCCTGAAGTTTGATGACTCATTAGAACTGTTCTCAGTTCATTTTAATTATAAAAAGGAATAAAGAATGAGACCTTGATATAATAATGCAAAAACTTCATACAATATATTTTGGTCATAGTATTTTCCCTTCCCCAACTCCTCCCAGGTATCCTCCTCCTACCCACTCCACTTCCACTTCATATTATTTTTCTGAAAAAAAAAAAAAGCCAAATTTTCTTAAAAGCACAAAAAAATGAAAAAAAAAAAAGCAAAACACAGAAATGTAGTCCATTTTGATGAATTTCTTCATCAAATCTGTCCTGTGCTTGCTTGTTCTTTTTATTTTCCTTTCATTCCACGTAATACTAAGAATTATGATGTTTAGTAGAAAAATGTAGATCACTACAAGAACTGGATTCATGCAGCTGTTCTCATGTAGCTGTCTTCTTAACCCACATTCTTTAAAAAAAATGAGAAACTGTTAAAAGAAGATGTAAAAATGGAAAGCTCTTAGTAGTTGCTTTGTTCAGGAAAAGATATTTCTGGAAGTGTATCTTGCATCTGAAACTACGTGGCTTGAGCATAGTACTTATATGTGTTAGAGTTATAGGAATTAAAAAATTTCCTTTACCAGATCTGTGATATGCCTACAGGAGGGCTTAGAACTCTTACCTTAGCCTGTGCCACCTGAGCCTAAATCAATTATTCTTCACTTCTAACTTCAGTCTTTCTTCTCATTTGGACTCTTTTTATAAAGCCATGTTCTGCTTTTCTGCCTTTGTTCTCAAATAAGCTATCCTCTTCTTTTATTTTCATTTTGTAGCTCTCTATATAATCTTTATTAGTTTTAAACTATTAAGAAGAGTTGTTCAGGCATAGACACCCATAGACTATGAAGTGTCACAAGTTCAAGATACCAGTTTTATAGGCAAATGTGAGCAAAGGGTTTATTCAGTTAGAGGCCCATGCAGTATTTCTTACTTTACCGGGCGAAACATCTCTATTGAGAATATCCTAGGTGTGATTTAAAATGTTCGGTATTGGGGAGTTGGGTTCTTTTTAACATCAATATTGTAGTAGCACAGTGATAGAAATCTTTTAATGGGGGATGATTCATTGTAGGCATGTCTCACTCTGTGGAAGTTTCCTAATGTTAAACAACATTTAATATTTTAAAGTGCTCTCAATCTCAATGGCTTTGTCCTACATGTAAAATAAAAATAAATTTAGAATTCTTGAGTTAGTAAAACATTTGCTGGATGAATTGGTTTCCTCATTCTGATACCAGGTTTTGTCATTCTGACTGTGGTCTCTGAAGTGGAAACAGTGGTGAACTGATGAACATGCGGAATCAGAGAAAGTGATAACTTATTATGGCTTTTTATAGGAAAGTCTATCTTACTATATCAATAATACTAATCATAAAATAATGGAAATAACTATATTAATATCTAGCACTTACTGTGAACTTATTACTTAGCAGGTACCATGCAATTATTACTTCATTTAAACCTGAAAATGAGAGTGTTCTATTATTATTCCAACTTCTAGAAACAGCAAACTGAAATATTAGGAGGATCTGGGGTCATGTACCTAATAAGCAGAAAAATCAAACACGCCATCTTTCTTTAAAGTCTCTCTCATCATTTTAACTATTATGATTTAATGGCCAGCAGATACCCTAGCACATTATCTATTCATTTGAAAAGGAAATTTGTGATTTAGTATAATAACAGTTTTCTACCTCAAAACTCCTTCTATGAAACTTCTTTCTTATAAATATTTAAAGAAAGGTATTTTATATAATTTTTATAAAAATGTAAATTGACTTAGAAAAAACACATTTCTCAAATGCAGATAATAAGGGAAATGGGAATTAGGCATTCTGGAAGAAGAGAGAAATTGTGTTAGAATATTAAAATTTTAATAATGCTGCATTCCTTGCCTCCGATGTAATACTCATGTCTGAGTCTTGGAACCAGCCTTGGGGGTTTCATTTCAAATTGGCAAAGAGCACTTCCAACTTGGGCTTTCCTGGTTTCTCAACTTTAGTTGTTTTGCTTGTTTGATTCTTTTTTTATTTTTTGATTCTCTTATGCTCTTTTAAAGCTTTTGATTCCTGCTTTCTCTTTTATTTTCTTAACTGTCATCCCAGAAGACTTCCTTTCAGAATATAGGCATATTTCTAAGAAAATTGTTTAGGGAGTGGGCTCCCTGGAGCTCAGGACTCAGGAAATGAATTGGCTCTGTGAAAACGTAACATGAAATCAGTTGTAGGTCAAGTTGAAAATCTGAAAAGACTTACTGGGTCTTTGGCCTACTACCTCCTAACTTGTTATTAATTACTACTTTCTTCCTTTTCTTGAAAGAATCAGAGGACTTTGAAAAGTGAGGATAAGATTTCAAGGCAACTGTGTCAGTCCCTGCTGTTTGCGTTGCAGAGTTCAACTCCAACAAATGCTTCTCAGATTTCTTTGAGTCTTGAAATATGTCAGTATTCTTTATTATTGCAAGATCTGATTTTGATTTAACTTTGGTAAGTGGTATCTATCGAGAAAACTGTCCATTTCTTTAGATTTTCCAATTTTGTGGAGTACAGGTTTTTTAAGTATGACCTAATGATTCTCTGGATTATATCTCCTTTTATTTTGTTTTTGTTAATTTGGATATTCTCTCTCTGCCTTTTAGTTAGTTTGTCTATCTTGTTTATTTTCTCAAAGAATCAACTCTTTGTTTCACTGACTCTTTGCACTGTTCTCTTTGTTTCTATTTTATTGATTTCAGCCCTCAGTTTGATTATTTCCTGTCATCTACTCCTCATGGGTGTATTTGCTTCCTTTTGCTCTGGAGCTTCCAGGTGTGCTGTTAAGTAGCTAGTATGAGATCTCTTTAATTTCTTTATGAACATTCCTGTACTCACCACTTTCACTGTTACCTACAAGTTTGGGTATGTTGTGCATTTATTTTCATTGAATTCTGGGAAGTTTTTAATTCCTTTCTTATTTCTTTATTTGACTCAGTGGTAATTCAGTAGGAAGTTGTTCAGTTTCCACAAGATTGTAGGTTTTCTGTTGTTTCTGTTGTTAAAATTCAGCTTTAATCCATGATGGTCTGACAAGGCAGAGGGAGTTTTTACAGTTTTTTTGTATCTATTGAGACTGGCTTTGTCACCAAGTATGTGGTCAATTTTAAAGAAGGTTCCATGAGGTGCTAAGAAGAAGGTATATTCTTTTATGTTTAGCTGAAATGTTCTATAAATGTCTGTTAAGTCCATTTGAGTCATAACATCTGTTAGTTCCCTTATTTCTCTGTTTCCGTCTGGCAGACCTGTCCATTGGGGAAAGCAGGGTGTAGAAATCTCCTACTATTAATGTCTGAGGTTTTATGTGTGATTTAAGATCTAGTAATGTTTCTTTTACAAATGTGGTTGTCCTTGCATTAGGGGCATAGATTTTTAAGAATTGCAATGTTCTCTTGGTGAATTTTTCTTTTGATGAGTATGAAATGTCCTTCTCCATCACTTTTGATTAATTTTGGTTCCAGGTCTATTTTTTTTTTTAGATATTAGAATAGATACACCAGCTTAGTTCCTAGGTTC